ACCAAGTCTCTGTTCTTCCAATCAAATCATAGTTCTTTAACTGTGCCAGGAGTTCCAGTTCCTAATCCTAAGAGTTCTAAGCTGCTGAGAGTTCTAAGCACTAATCACGGGTTTGGATACTTATAGAGAATATGACCAAAAAACTAAGGAAATTTGCAACGATATAGATTTCTATGAGAAATCTTTCTTGGTGAGAAAATTTCACAGAAAATTGCCCATTTCAACAGTTCCTGGTACAAAGTTATTTTTAAGTATAAACATGGTGAGAAATGACAGAATTCACGTGCCGAACACACAAGAATAAATGAGTTCACAAGTCACTCCAAGAAGACAACTAAACACTCCATAAACACACACAGATTTTCCACTTACGTAAAGGTTGTAAGAAGGTATGGTGTAGCCAACTGGAAAGAAGCAATTTTAAAGCTTTTTTACAGAAATGGATTCATACATATTACAGCTATTAACACCATTTAGCTTGATGGGATGATTTGTCTAGACTTCTGAGAGGTAAATCTACCAAATATATCATAGTTAGGAAAGCTGAGACTGATAAGGAGAGCAAGAGCTTGGAGGGTTAAAGTGGGGAGAATGGTCCTCTACAGCCATCACCTGATTTTCCTCTTCTTTAATTTATTTTGCTACCAACTTAAAAGTTGAATGAAGTCTCTGTAGAAGTGGTTCTCCTAAAAATAATAAAGGACATTTTTTGTTTTGTTGTTTAGTGGGTGGCAGTGATTTTGTTGGTTTTGTATTTTTCTTGAATTTTTTTTCTCTTTTTTTTCTTCCACTCTCCACTTTTTCCTAGTACAGTAAAACTCCAATAGTCCGGCATCCAATAGTCAGGCACTCCTGATAGTCCGGCATCAAAATGGCAAGAGCCTAGTGAGTGAGCTTCGGCAAAAAATAAGTCACAAGGTAACAGCGGTAGCAGCTGAACTGAGCAAAAAGGGCAAAAAAGGCTTAAAAAACTAAAACATTACAGTATACTGTATACAGTATGTACAATAAAAAGGGTTAAGAACACTTTATATACAGTATATAATATATACAGTAGATATATAACCAGCTTATAGTATCTCCTGATAGTCCGGCATATCTGATAATCCAGCACCACCTAGGTCCCATAAATTCCAGATTATCGGAAGTCTACTGTACTGTACTATTTTTGCCATTTCTCTCTTTGAGCATGTTCTGTCCCCCAAAGAGGTTTTCTAAAAAAAGCTAATAGTCATCAGGTTCTGCATGCTTCTATTAACCTTAGGGTATATCTTCACTATGGGCTGGATCCACAGTCAGTGATCAATCCTGGGAGATCGATTTGTCATATCCAATATAAATACGATAAATCAGCCCCCAAGCACTTATCCATCAACCCTGGTACTCCAGGAAAAGTAAGCCGAGTCAATAGGAGAGAATGAGATGTTGACTTACCACTGTGAAGATACTGCGGTAAGTAGATCTAAGTACATCGACTTCAGCTACTTTATTCACATAGCTAAGGTTGTGTAATTTAGGTCAGTGGCCCACTGTAGTATAGACCAAAGCCTTAAAGTCAACATAGGAGAGAGGGGTATTTAGCTAATAGTTCTCTGTATTTTGCCTTTCTTTAAATTATTCTTACAATTTCTGCAAACTGAGAACATTTTAATAAAATTCCAAGGATGCAGAAAGGTACAAAAATATACTCACTGTGGAGCAGTTCAACCATTGCCACATAGAGATGGACCCCAACTGTTACACTAAGGATCCTTTTATATTATTCTAGTAGTGTAAAGGGGCCTTAAAGTGGGCAGAAACAGGCCCCTGAGAATATCCCCTCTACAGAGGTCTCCCAGCTGCTATAGACTCACATAAGAGCTCTACATTGGGCTTGTTTCTAGCAATAATTAGAGAAGCTGGACTGGGAGTATGGCCAGAGCATGCTACACTGTAATTAGTCTCTCCTTCCTTAGGGCCATTGGAAGCTGTGGGAAACAGCACAAATTAGAGCAGCCTTTTAAGCAGGTAAGGCAAACTCCTTGTAGGATACCAAAAATGCAGGGAGCCCAACCCTCCCTTCATATGCAATCAGAACTCCAAGTGGAATTTACTGCAGAGGCGTCCTAGCCCAATACACTGAATTGGTGCATTTGCTGATTACATTTTCTAAGGAGCAGTTCTGAGATCATGAATATTTCATATGCACACATGCAGCTGGTTTCAAGAATCTAGCTTTTGCAAATAAGTTTTATGTTATGATTTGTGAAAGCTAAAGGGTGAGGAATGAAAAGAAAAGCACAATGAAAGTAAGAAATTCTGTTTTGAGGCATCTTAAAGTGACTAAAATACAGAATAGGTTTCAAGAGAATACATTTGACATATTTTGTACCAGAGTTTTGCCTTCCTCTCACCCCTCATAAGCTCAACAATCTCAGAGATAGCACCAATGCAAGTGAGGGTAGTTTGGCTCTTTGGAGTCATTATATTTCCTATGCGACTAAGCCATGTTAGCGGAGAGTAACCATAACCTTAGTGATGGCATCAGGAAGTATTATCTCTTTGAAAAGTCTACTGTGTCCGAATGTTGGTGTGACTTTGGAGCATGGCAAACAGTGGATTTTACTACTCTTTCATGCACCACTCATAAAAGCTGAAAAGTGGGTGAAATCATTGCTGTAAGCAGGTGTAGCTGACCCCTTACTCTTGAGCTCCCTGGAAATGGAAGAAGGATTATGTTTCCTTCTTTTCAAGGATTTCAAGGTAAGGTCATATCCTTACCTACTGCACACATCCTAAATGGAAACTTTTGCTGGTATATATTTAAGCACATTTGATCCATAACATCTTTTAAAAATGTAAGGGCAAAAGCAAGGGTTACCAAAGACAAATGAGGAAGCCTAAAAGAGTGGAGTGAGTATCTTGATTGTTGTAGAACAAATCTTTTCCTTTAGTATCACAAATCTTTTCCACATATCACAAAGCACGTTAAGTTGGATACTGTCACTGCAATTTAGGCAAAAAATCAACACCATGTACACTCAACAATACCTCAAACAGTTCTCTACAAGCGTGAATCTTTACATTGAGAAGAGAAAGTGTTGATCCTTATTTTTTTCAAGTAGATCTGTGGGAGCTCTGTATTTAATTTGGACTGGGACAGTAACAGATAAAATATGCAGCTGTCAGATCTTTTCCTCAAGTGAATCCTGAGCAGCTGAAAACCCAGCATACATGTACAAAGTGAAATTGTGCAAGTGATACTTCAGAGCATGTTACAAGAAAAGCAGCCTAAATCCTGGATTTGTATAATTTATTTCAATAGGAGCAGAATCACAATATGAAAAATAAATTTCACGTGTGTGTTTTTTTTCCAAGAATAGATGCCAAGTGCATGCATCATAGTGGTTATGCTTCTGCTTTCATATGCACAAGTACTTCTGTTTTCCTTCAGCAAGACTTACTTCTCTGAGACTACATTTTGCTAGTACAGGCAGTCCCCTTACATCGGATCCCTACTTACAAATGAGGTGAGGCAACCCCGCACTAGCTGCTTCCCCCCAGCAGACCAGGGAGACGTGAAGCTAGCGCCCCCCTCCCCAGCAGACAAGGGAGACAGAGAGCGGCTTTTCTCAGCAGACACCTCAGCTTGAGAATAAAGGACTGAGGGAAGTGAGGTGTGGGAGAATAAAACTGAGCTCTGGAGAAATGTTTGGCTAGAGTTTCCCTTACAATATGTACCAGTTCCGACTTACATACAAATTCAACTTAAGAACAAACCTACAGTCCCTATCTTGTACGTAACCCGGGGACTGCCTGTACTACCCCCCAAAAAAGTCTATGCCTTTTCAAACCTTAAATACTCATTTCAGTAAGTTTAGACAAGTACCTCCCACTACAAAGTGATTTACCCTAAAGTAGGAAACAGTACAGGGAGAATAAAATGAAACAAATTTAGTTCTCAAGAAAGACTGATAGTTCTGGAAACGTACATAATACTTATTCAGGCTGGATACTAAATGCCTGAGGGCAAATATAGTCACAAAACATAGCATGGGCAGTATCAATGTAAGCTTCCTCTCTCAGATCACATTAAGTATCACTGCTAATTTGGAACAGGTGAGCTAGTCCCTCTATGAGCAAGATTCCCATTGCTAAGCTATTCAATGCTAGCCATGACTGAGATTGTCCACTGCCGTGGTGGTCTCTCTGACATGGATAATAACTAGGTAGGAAATGGACTATAATTATTAAGTTTCAGAGGGGTAGCTGTATTAGTCTTTCACTACAAATAATGAGAAGTCCTGTAGCACCTTAGAAATTAACAAAAATATATATAGTATCACGAGCTTTCATGGGCAAAACCCACTTCTTCAGATGAGCTGGAGTGGTGGGATTTGCCCACGAAAGCTCATGGTACTATATTATATATATATATCTTTGTTAGTCTGTAAGGTGCCACAGGACTACTCACTGTTTATAATTATTAACTCATTTACAAAGACTAGATAATTCATTTTTGGTCAATCCTGAGTTGGGCCTGCTTTGAATACATAAGCTACTAAAGCTTGTTACATTTAAGTTATTGCCAGTCGCTTCCCATTGTTATACATTTTCTACTTTAGTTTATTAGAAGGAATTTAGTCCACATTTCAAAATAAAAATGAGTAATGTATCGCTGTTTCCTGAAGATAAGTAACTTTTTATTATTGTAATTCATCAATATGACTAACAAACAACTTTTCAATTATTTACTCTTAAACATTACAGGAAAAGCTTTGCATCGTGTGATTTATTGCTTCTATCAATCACACTTGAGTTTGTGAGATAATATTTATCTTTTAATAGGGTTAATATACCCAAAAATGTGGCACAATAACTTAGCTGATTCTGAATGTGTGCATTTCAAAAAAAAAAAAAAAAAACCTAAAACAAATAAAAAACTGAATAGCTATTTTTCAGTTTTTTTGCTCTAAAAAAATGTAGTTAGTGAAATTACTATTGCACATAGTTCCCAAAAGTTGTTCACAGCACTTGTCCATAGTTTTATTTCAGGAAGGAGAGGGAGAAGAAAATGGGTATTTTCTTTTAAAAATGTACACAGTATGGTAGTTTTGATTTCAGGTTAATAAGATTAAACGCAATACACAATTAAACCAAATTTCATGTTATGCTATGTTGTATACAAATATAGATTTTGTTCATACATGTAGAGACAATTTCCAGTCCTCATAAAATATGCAGCAGACCATGCTAAGGAAACAGAGTAATAGCTTTTTTATTAAAGGCTTTGATATTTTGTCTTTGCTTAGGACCCAGATCTGCTCCTTTTGAATTCAATGATGAGACTACAATGTATTCCAATGTGGATAAGTTTGGACTCTTATAAAGTTAGAAAGATTACTAGTATCCAAGAAAGTTTTCGGCATATTTGTCTTGATATGGATCATATCATCACAAACAATAAGGCAATCCCTGAGGTTTTATGACATTTACATGCTTAAAAGTTAAAATGATTGACCAGTTTTATTTTGATGCTGAAGATCTTTGAAGAGAAAAATGTACTATTAAAAAAACAACTCAATACCATATTGGAGTCCAACGATATGTTTTAGAAAATATCAAATTTGTATTTGGACAGAGGAGAAAAAGCATAAACGTAGTGTTTATGAAAGACATAATACAGAAGTGTGTGAATATAGTTTTTTAAACTGCATTTAAGAAAAAAGATTACAGCCTTCTTTTTCTTTATAAGGTCATTGACTGCCAACATCAATGCTTGATATCATTTTTAGAAATTTCCTTAACTTTTAAACTTGCCAACATGTTCGCGTGCTATGATCAGCCTTTGGATCTGAGCTGTTCCTTCATAGATCTGAAAAGAATTATGATACCATTACATTATTGTGTTATGCTGTCAGTTTTAAAAAGTTCTTTATAAATATAACAAGATCAGTTCCAATTCAATATACAAAATTTACAAACAAGTTAAAAAGCTTTGCTCCTGTCTGAGACAACAAAACAGAGAGATAAGCAGAGCAAGGAGATAAAAGGCAACTAAAAACTACAGTAATGGGAGCTGAACAAGAGGCTAAACAGAAGGAATTATTTTCAACAGTATAGAAATACATTCCCCGTCTCTTGAGACATGATAGTCTAAATTAGATCAGAAAGACATGGAAGATAGTGGGTGGGAAAGACATCAAATACAGGAAAGGGGAATATAATCTGAGTTTAAAACCATACAGGACCATTAGATCATCTAGCCTGATCTTGTATGCATTACAGGCCATTTACATATCACCCCTGTACTGAACCTCACAACATTAGTTTAACACATTTTAGTCCTCAGAAGATTAAACTATTCTGTGCCAAAGGAAGACAACAGAAGAGTCAAAGGTACTACCAAGGCTGCAGGAACCTACAATGGTAGGAACAGATTAGGTGAGATATGTTCAAATGATCCTAGCAGGAGATCCAATCCTCATGCTGCAGAGGAAGGTGAAAATCTTAAATAAAAGTTAGGCTTGTACAATTTTGTTTTCGAACAAGGAGGAGGAAAAAGATGACATGGTAAAATATTCACAAATTATGTGAAGCAGTGTTGTTCTCTCCTTTCACAGTCACCTCCCTCCTCACTTTAACATCTTTTGCTGTTTCTCCATGTTCTCATGTTTGTAGCGCCACCCTACCCCATTCAGTAACCAGTGTGCTTTCATCTAGCAGCACATATTTTTGTATCTTCTTGAGCACTGAGTTCTTCCTCTGTGGAAGAAACACTCCTTTGTTCTATTCTGTACTGGCAACAAAATTAAAACATTTACTATGATGATCTTTATTCTAGAATAGAAATCTGGATTTTGGCTTTTATCCTTGCTTTCAATACACAAAGAAAAAGAGGCATGATAGGAGACAGGAAGTATGGCCAATGGTTAAAACACAGGACCGAATTAAGATTTAATTTCCTAACTCTTCTAAAGCTTTTATAAATTTGAACAAGGTCATACAGCCTAAGTTTCTCCAACTGCATAATAGGATAATTATCTTTGCCACCAGGTGTGTTAAGATTCTGAAAAGACAGGCAGTATATAACTGCCAAGCATTATCTGAGCAAGTCTTGTTAAGGATTCACAAGAAAGGGATCAGTAAATACCCCATCTTTGAAAACAAGTAAAACAAGCAACAAGCTTTTCTTCTGTACTTTAAACACAAAATCTATTTGTTTATGTTGTACAGAGGGAGCTCCTAAATAAGATCATAGTCACTTTTTACTTTTGTAATTGGGACTCAGAAGAGATTAAGGGGGGACATGATAGCAGTTTTCAGGTATCTAAAAGGGTGTCATAAGGAGGAGGGAGAAAACTTGTTCATCTTGGCCTCTGAGGATAGAACAAGAAGCAATGCGCTTAAACTGCAGCAAGGGAGGTTTAGGTTGGACATTAGGAAAAAGTTCCTAACTGTCAGGGTGGTCAAACACTGGAACAAATTGCCCAGGGAGGTTGTGGAATCCCCATCTGTGGAGATATTTAAGAGTAGGTTAGATAAATGTCTATCAGGGATGGTCTAGACAGTATTTGTTCCTGCCATGAGGGCAGGGGACTGGACTCGATGACCTCTCGAGGTCCCTTCCAGTCCTAGTATTCTATGATTCTATGATTGAAAGGGGAACAGTTTATAGAAGAACACGTGAAGTACTACATGAAATAAATACAGAAATGGGACAACAGAATAGATGGAAAACTAAGTTTTTGCAGATGAAGCATATGGCCAAGAGCACATGCAATGATACAGTACAGCAGACAAAGTCCAAAAAGTAATCAAGGACAAAAGACATGAGATAGCATATATCAGAAATGGGAGGATGGCAGAAATCTGCAATAAAACTCTTTCAGAGGCTGGGATACTTACTTTAAAATAAGTATCTAAAACTCCGGTCATCTGAAGAAGTGGGCTGTGCCCATGAAAGCTCATGATACCACCTACATGTATTGTTAGTCTATAAAGTGCTACCAGACCATTTGTTGTTTTTTAAGTTTATCCTGTACAGACTAACTCAGCCACCCCTGAAGCTTTAAAGTTACAGTGGATGATAGGGATTTTAAGGACTAGTTGACTATCCGATAAGCAAATGCTTATCAGATAGTTGACAGGATAGTTGACTAGTCACTCTATCAGATAGAAGCAGCAAAATTGGGGAAGGAGGGGGGTACTTCAAAGCGGCAGTGCCACAAGGAACCCAGAATCCCAGGCTCCGTGCGGCGCTACTGCTTTGAAAAACTACAGCAGCATTAAAAAGGGGTAGTGCCGCACAGAGCCCAGGATCAGCAGTGCAGCGCTGCCCCTTGGAAACACCGCTGCAGCGTTTCAAAGAGGCAGCACCATATGGAACTCGGGGTTAGCTGGAGAGTCCCTAGTTGATCCCGGGCTCCCCTCAACATTTCAAAGAAGCTTGGAGCCAGCTGATCCTGGACTCCGAGCAGCATGCCAGCTTTGAAATGTACAAGAGTCCCCAGCGGGGGCTCTTGTGCATTTCAAAGAGGAAGCACAGCATGAAGCAAGGTGCCAACACAGGATTCTGAGTTTCAAAGCAGAAGCACCAGTGTGGAGCCCAAAGTCAGCAGGACTTCCCACTGGCCCTTGGCTCCACGCAGCATTCCAACTTTGAAACGCACAAGAACCCCTGCTGGGGATCATGTACATATCAAAGGTGGAACGCAGAAGTGCCTATTGACTAGTACTTGGCTAGTAAATTAATCACTAGTTAACGTCCCCAGTGGATGAAACACAGTAAGGCATTTAAAGACTATTCACAGAGACACGAGGCATCTCTGTTGATAATCTCCATAAGCTTCCCAAAAGATGGGGAATAGAAACCAGAATCAGAGATGTGTGGTTATATCAAGGGTGGGCAAATATCGGCCCTTGTGGGTAGATGCTGATATATTTACCTGCATGGCCACAGGAACTGGCGATCACAGCTCCAGTTAGCTACAGATTGCTGTCCCCAGCCAATGGGAGTGGCAGGAAGCAGTACAGACTAGGACACCATTTCCCACTGCTCTCGGGCTGGGAACAGTGATCGGTAGCCAACGGGTGCTGTGATCACCAGTACCTGTGGCTGTGCAGGTAATTATAGCAGTGGTGGCCTTTCAGGGGCTAACCTTGGCAGACTGCCGCCCTGTTATTGCCCACGCCTGCGTTAATGGTATACTGAAGGCAATTAGAATCACTCTGAAACACACAACCAATGATCAGTGTCTGAAGAATGTTAAGTCTTCAATCCAGATTCCAGAAGAATGTTGTAATCAATACAGAATATACATATTTTCTAAAAACATTTAATAATGAAGCATTGACACAAGAGTCAATAACAGAATAATAATCAAAACCACAAAAAGGGGACAGAAGGTGGGTCTCAGAATGCACATCTGCATCATGTTTCAATCTGTTATAGCACGTAAGAATTTCTCCTTTGGGAAGCTGCAGTTGGGTATTCCACCTGCAAGTGGTGGGTTCAAAGTCCATTCAAACAACGGACCACAGAACCATTTTTCCAAAGCAGTGACACAAGTGTAATGAATGTATTAAACCATGTGGCAGCCTTGCAAATATCCAATGCAGAGATATCGCTTGAGAATGCAATCTATATCAATAGTATTCTCAGGAGTTCACCACACATATAAGGAAGCAAATCCAAAGCAACAGGACTGATGCGTGGTGGGCAGGAGGGGCCACACATCTCCCAATGACATGGGCAGGAGGGGGCCAAGGAGCAAATAGCAGGGTAACTACAGGGGTAGCTGCCCCTTCCACTCATCATCAGCGGGGTAAGTGGAGCCAGGCAACATGATGCTTTGCTCATTCTGCTGCTCTGGGGGAGGGGTGGGACCACCTTTGCATTTCCTGGCAGCAGCAGAGTGAAGTGGCTGCGAGAACAATGCACCTGGGGCTGCCTTGCTCTTCTTCCCCCACCGCTGCCAATGAGTGCAATTGGGGCAGGGGGCCTGCTGCCAGCTCCAGCCCCACTAGTGACCCCGGCCATCTCGGTTGGGAAAAGAGGCAGAGTAGAGGCAGAGCAAGGGCAGAGGGGGTTTGTTCCAGCCCTTCCCTGGGGGAGAGGGAGAAGAATGTCACTTGGCCAGTGGCCAGCGTTCCCTCTCAGCTTTTCCATCCATAAGCGTAGTGAGTTTTGTCTTGTGAGCCAATATTGATGTCATGTGCGCTTGTTCAGATGTGTGTGCCACTGTGGCGCCCATCAGTTACTATATATACTGTGTATGCTAGATGTGCAACAGGACAGAAGATGAGGCAGAAACTAATGCATCTGCACAGTAAGTGGGGCTTTCTTCCATAACAATTTATGCATTAGCTCCTGCCCCAGCTTCTGCTCTGTTACACAGCTAGCATTCTGTCTCCTCCTCCACCCCAACTACTCCCCCCGCCAGTCCCACAGCCCCAACTCCTTGTGACAGCAGCTGCCTGCCTGCCTCACAGCCCCAATCCCAGGTGGCAGCAGCCACCTGCCAGCCCCATGGCCCCATCTCCTGGTCCGCCAGCCCCAGGGCCCCATCTCCTGGAGGCAGCAACTCCCCCCCAGCCCCAAGGTCCCAACTCCCCGCAGCAGCAGCCTGCCAGCTCCACAGTTCCAATCCCAGGCAGCAGCTGCCTCCCAGCATGGCTTCAGTCCCAGCAGCCAGAATAGCCACCTTCTGCTGCATTTGTGGCTCCGTCCCCGCCTTCGCCCACCACATAGCCCTGGCCATGGAAGCAGACACCCCACTCACCTTCCAGGTCCAGGAAGGTGAGTGCAGAGCTGCCCAGCAGCTAAGGAGGTGGGCGGGCTCAGAATTTTTTGTCTGCAGCCGCGCACCTTAG